AGGAGTTTATGACAAAAATAGTCCACTCAGTAACCAAATTTCCTGACTAATATTTGTGTACTTTATTCTGAATTTAAAATAATAATAATGAGGGATTTAGAACTTTTTAAAAAGGTTACAGCTACATGCCTATATAAGCTAATTTAAGTTTGAACTTTTAATATCAGTTTAAAAATTAATGAGAAACTTCAGATGTTTAGAAACTACTGTGTTTCCTTGATTAAACTCCAGGTGGGTTTATTTTTGAAGTGGAGCATAGTGAAGCTTCTTCTATGAGGCTTACAGAATTGTGTTCATTCTCAAAATCCATTCAATAGATTTTGACTAAACTTTGCCATTTTCCATTAATTGCAATGTGGATTCCAAAGAATGCAATAAAAAATGTGGTATATGACTTTGTTTTCAAGATGTCAGGTTGTTTCAAGAGCCATGCGTGACAAAGCGATATCACACAAAGATGTTTCATGGTTGCTAGCATGTCTTGTATCCCTTGTATTAACGAATCCAAAAATGTAATGTGAGTCCATTTAAATGTAAGAAATCCAGCAACGAATCACTTAACTTTCATGGCAACATTTATAATTCTGATAGTGCTATCTGTTACAATATTTCATTAAAAAAACTGTTTACATTTTTAATTATTATAAAATAGCAAAAAGCTAAATTTTGAGAGTAGGGATGGGTTTTGTAAAAAATTGTAAATGCTAATAATGAGTAAAATTGTCATTAAGTCTGACCTTACTCAAGACATGACACACGATCACCCTTTATCTCCCTACCATGTTGACTTTCAACCACCAAGGTTTAATAGCATGAATCTTTCTAATACACAAAGCTTCCTGCAAAATTTCAGAAATTTTCAAAAGCACGGGAGCTTGATAGAGGGTAAACAGAATTGTGCCCCTCACACACACTAACATCCATACAAACATAAAGAAACTCTGAATGTTTTTTCATTTCTCAATGTTTCAAAGTCCCCTAAGTCCAAAAATGTAAAATTCTTGGGGGGTTGTTGTTTCACTGATTGCCATACTTTCCCTCTATCTATACCAGAGCCAGGAAAGTAAAAATAGGAGTTCATGACTTCATTTTTGATATACAAAGGTATAACAGTAACAATGTCCATGCTCTCTGATGCAACAAGTGCACTTAATGGAATTTAGGCCTAGGGATCAAAAATAAATACAGTATTATGTACAGTACACCTAATGGAAAATAGGCATGAAAAACGAATGAAACACAAGAACAAGGCAATCGTCATCAATTGCTTTGTTCTTGGATTGTTTTGCTTTACCTGGTCAGTGCAAGGATTGTGTCTCCTGTGGCCTGTAGGTATGAGGATAACCTCTCTTGTGGCAGTAAGTGCAAAGTTCACCTGTCTGCATCTGTCAGGTACTTAGGCACAGAAAAGGAGATTCTTGTTAACAGATGCAGGGATTCTTTCCTTCCTGGTCCGCTTTAATTCTATCGCAATATGACAAAGTCATGTGATGTCTTAGTTAAAATGTATCGCCAGGGTTTTTTGAGACTGGGATTTGTCTTTACAACAGTTGATGAATGGGTAAAAGTTGAAAGAAATACCTTAATTAGTCATACATTTTCCAAACTCTCAAAATCATTTATTGGTTGTATTTATGGGTTACAGCTACAATATCTAACTATATAAAGCTGAAAAACTGGATTCTTTCTTTCTTTCTGTCACTGTATGCCAAAAATGGCCACTAGGGATGCCCCTAGCTATTATTTAAATTAACAAAAAATCAGTATATTATTATTATTTGATGTGGTTTTTTGCATTTTTGGCTGCATTTTAGTAGGGTATGCCACGAGAAATTCAGTATATTATTATTTTTATTTGTAATAGGAATTTATTATTTATACCACAGAATGAAACCACTGCTACTAGAATGCCCACTAAGGGGCATCCCAGGCTACTAGAATAGAAGGATTAGAAGTATGAAATAATCTTAATCTTTGTTGTTGTTTTTTGCCCGGGCAACACCGGGCTCATCTGCTGGTCTTGTTTGAAATAATTACTGTTTTCATAGTTAATCTTATTCAGCAATCTTCCAATTTAGGTAGTTGTTATTCATGTCTACTTCAATGTTATTGTAGGAATAAAGATCTTGACTACATCTTTCTGGTTCAAACTTATCATCTGTTTCCAATTTGAGTTTTCATTATTATCCTTCAGCCAATAAGCTCTTGACTTATGAACTTTATTGCAACTGTTTTCTTGTTCAATATTTAACAACAATTATAATTTTATTTCAAAATATTTTTCTGTGAAACTTGGAATAGAAAGTGCTGACCAACTCTGGACAATTTGAAGAGATAGAATTTTAGTTAAATTACTTGTCACTCTAAACTGCATTATACTGTACAGTAAGTGCTTCAACATATTTTCTATGCTTTTCAACCCAGGCTTTATTTTTAACAGCATCTTTATCTCCAGGGTTTAATCAAGAAAATATGGTAAATAATTTTATAACTTAGGATTATCATTGATCATTTCTCAACATTGATATATACTGTATTTTCCAACTGAAATCATTATATATGACTTTTGGAAAGTAACCCATTCCTCTATACTTTTATATAGTGATGTCCTTAGTTCAGGAATTCATCTATAGCAAAATACATTAAATTTTACTCTGAATATTTTGATTTGATGTGATGCCCTTGGTGATATGCCAGACATCTTGCTGAATTCAATTTCTTGCCAAACTTGAAGCAATGTATCTTTTGTCACTTTGATAGTTGATTATGATTTGAATTTTGAGCTTAATGAAATTTGCAGGCAATGGTAGAATAAACACTAGATCTTTAATGAAACTCCAGAAGAAAAAATCAAGAGGTGTCAAATCTGAGAAATACAATGGCCGTGCTTCCAGTCTTGCTTGACAAATCTACTGAAGTGGAAAACATTTATTGAGGAAATTCCAAACATCTGTATGGTAGTGGAGTGATGTGCCATCTTTCTGAAAGTGATGTATGCATGCACTTTCATCAAGATGACATACAATCTTCTCCATCATTATCTAACTGTGAATGAGGAATTTTCCAGCATATCAAGATATTTAATATCATTGATGGTTTCAAATTCATTATAGATGGCCAATGACATACTAATTTTTCTTGTGCAATTTGGTTGCATGATAGTCTGAAAATGTGTTAGTAAGAAATTGGGAATTTAATTAGTTGTATGAGAATTGTAAAATTCTTTTGGGCACATATCTGGATGTAAAATGTGGCATTTGGGCAAGTGTGTCCATCATATATGGCCTGAGATTGTTTTGACATCGTTTTGAGTCATCAAATGTGGTAAAAGCAGCATTGCAACAGGTTGCTGGTTGAAAAAAAGATGGCTTACAAATAGACATCCACAACTGCTGTAAATAATCAGGCTATAATTTGTAAATAGTGATGTTGAATTACACATGAATTTGACACTAAAAGGAAGCATTAGGCACCATCTTGTATTAAAATTAATAATTATAATATTTAATTAAATAATTTAGATTAAACAGGAAGAAAAGAATTAGCCCAAAGCGTGACTCGAACCTGCAACTTTTGCTTATTGTGCAAATGCGTTGCCAGTTATGCTACCCAGACCTCCTGTCCAATCTCCTCTTCCAGTATATATAAACTTATGATATAACCATCATCAGTTATTAGAGGTCCAGGTAGTGTAACTGGTAATGCATTTGCACGGTAAGTAAAGTTGCGAGTTCAAGTCCTTCTTTGGGCCGATTCTTTTCTTCCAGTTTAATATAAATTATTTAATTAAATATTATAATTATTAATTTTAATATGAGATGGCATCTAATGCTTCCCTCTAGTGTCAAATTCATCTGTAATTCAAAATCATTACAGTAGAGCCTCAATTATCTGACCGTCCTAGTCGGAAAATTTCAAATGTCCACTAGTGATGTGGCTCTACAATATTTGGCTATGTCTTGGCTACTTTAATATTATTTTTACGTGTTTTAGCTGGCAACACTGGATCGACCATGAAAGGGAGCCAGTATTTAAACAAGGCTTAATTTTCTAATTTTTAACGATATAATAGCTACAATTATTATTTTTTAAAACATTTTGTTAGGCTTAACATCGATGAAAATTCAATGCGAAGTAGGTTAATAGCGATATACTAAAATACTAATATACTAATTACATGGGATATAATAATATACTACACTAATAATTGATTTTTTCATACTTTTCGGTTATCTGCCCTTTCAATTATCCAACCAACTCCAGTCCCCAATTGAGTCGGATAATCGAGGCTCTACTGTATTTACAAATTATAGCCTGATTATTTATGGCAGTTGTGGATGTCTATTTGTTATACATCAGGTTTTGGTTGATGTTTATATTTGTAGATGGCTTACAGTAATACTTCCAGTAGCCGTACAAGTTAGGGTAAGAGTATGTCATCACCCAAGAGGATTAATTTGAAAATGGTTGTGTATCAGTGTTTTAAACTATTCAAGCAACTATACACCAAGTCCCCAAACTTTTGGATCCTGACATATTTATAGACAATGTTCATAAATTAATATTTATTTATGCATTTAAGTAAATCTGTAATTTGATTACTTATTAAATTAATTAATTTACATGTTTTATTGTAAATAATAATTTATTTAAAAATATGAAGTTACAGAATTGTAAAAAAAAAAAAAAAAAATAGTAGTAGAAATAAATTTCTTTTTCTTACATTGCTAATTCTACCAGAAAAATTCATTTCCTTCATATTCATTTTAACAACTTTTGGATTATTTTTTTTTAAATAACTTTTTTGAAATTTATATTAATAAGTTATTAACAGGATTTTGATAATATAAAATAGGAATTTTATTATATGCTGTATTAATTGTTAATAAATACTAATAATTGATAATCATTAAAACTAAAAATTCATTAATTATTTTTTAAATAATTTGTGATAAATAATAATTTAATTTAAATGACTAAGCTAATATTTTATTTTTCAGTTCGACTGCATGACAGTATACAAGAAGAAGGCTATCATTATTTAATATTTGATTTGTAAGTGTTATTACATTAATTTATTTTTATGATGAATTACTACAACTGATTACAAAAATTCTGATCCAAATTTTGATGATAATAGTCATAATAATAACCACAGTTTAGGAATATATTAATTATTTTTAATTGAATATTAGTAACAAGTTAAAATCAAATTATAATTTATTAAATAATTGAATTAAAATATTTTATTTAAAAATCTAGATATTTTAATACTTTTTCCAATCTACATTTAGAGTAGCATATAACTGATAACTATAAATTATTTTCTCATTTTTCACAATTAATTAATTATTTGATTTTGTATAATAGATGATGATGATTTCAAATGACAGCTAAAAATTTTTTTACAATTCAAACTTCAAAAAGCAATAAATTATACCACTTTATTGGATAATCTTTCACAAAATCTCTCTACTTCTTTAGAGTCTAAATATCCATTTTCAGGAATATAAATTTTATGTAGTAGCAAAAAATATCAAAACAATTCTCTACAACTACGATTATAACCACCACCACCACCACCACCACCACCACTACTATAACTATACAACTATAGCTATAAAATTCCATTAATTCAAAAATTTTGTTTAAAATTAATTTTTACTCAATGTTCTTTCACTAACTACAAATTCAAAGCAAATTCTAACAGAATGTCAGCTAGCAATTATATCAATGGCAACATTCTGAATCATCATCAACTGTTAGAAGATATTTAAATGCAAAAATATGCAGCAGTACATAAAATATCACATTATTATAGCATATCAAAACCTAAAACAACTTATTATTCAAGACATCAATTCCAACAGATTTACAAAATTTACTATAATATGATACTTTCTTTTCCATCATTAGACTTAACACTCCACTTTTCATTCTTTTAATAAACTCGTTGATCACTCAAAAATATTTTATAAATTTGATCATTAATAACATTCATCCTTAATATCAAGCTCTATATTATTTATATTACTCATAAAACCAACATCAGCACATAACAAGAAAAAAGGAAAAAATTTACAAATATTTTCATCTATGTGAAATAGACATCCTCAGATATATATGATATTGAACAAACTGCTAACAAAAATATTTTAAAAAACATTCTATTCTTATTAGCCATTTGTTCGATATCATATATACCTGAGGATGTCTATTTCACATAGATGAAAATGTTCATAAATTTTCCTTTTTTCTTGTTTTGTGCTGGTGTTGGTTTTATGAGTGATATATTTATACAAACCCAGTTTTTGAGATATATTTATATTATTTATTTTTAAATGCATTTCACACAATGGATAATGTTTTACTAAACTTGTTGTTTATTACCTCCATGTTTAGATTATCATCATATATCCAGTTTTTTTCTTTTGGATCTACTTGTTCTAATAGTTTAACTTCCTCCCAGTGTTTTTTCCATCTCTCTGTCCAAGCTAGTTCACTTAATGCTATAGTATTTTCTTTTGATTAAGTTGTTTTATGTATTTTACTCTATTTCCTGAGCTGCTTCTTATAGCTTCCATGTATGGTAATTTCTTTTTTCTTGCCTTTATAACTTTAACTGATCTTACTCACACTTCATTTCTCTTTCCATTTTCTTCTCTTTATTGTCTCTTGACATGAAAACATGGGGTTTGTTTTAAATTATTTTGTTAAGCTTTTCATGCTGTTATAAAGTGAAGAGGAATTCTTTATTTCTCTCTTCTAGCTTTAAAAGGATCTTTGTATAATTTTGTAGACTAAGCAATTTTTTTAGCTAACTTCCAAAATTTCTTTCCATTCTTCATGCTACTTTACAATTGGCAGAGAATGCAACTTATTCTGTAATTTTTCTCAACTAGAAAAGATTATTATTGCTCTTCTAATTAATGAATAGCATTTTTTCTGACAAATAGTTCCCACTACCATACATGTTATTCTACTCTCAAGTTTTGTATAATATCGGTTGATTTGTACTGGTCATCTTACCATCTGTTCATACTTTTCCATTGTCATACTGTTTGTACGTTATCTGTCTGTTATTATGTATGTATTTACCTGTGCTTTGACATATCTCTGTATTTAACCCGATTATGCTCTTGCGGTATCGGGAGTAAATAAAGATAAAGTAAAGTAAAAAGTAAAAATAGTTCCCACAAACCTGCAAAGGGTATATGAGACACTTAAAGATACAAAGAAGAAAAAAGGAGAATCCTTCTGTTTTATGAATGAGCTATAGTTTTTATAAAAACATGGAAAGCTTGACAAACAATTTTATAACTTTGAAAACAATATATAATTTTTTTAAATGTTAAGAAACAATATAAAAGAAAATGGCAAAGATAACATCAAGTTTATAATTAAGGAGAGATATTATAAAGACTTCAAGTGACATCAAAATTAATCAATAAAAAGTTACAAAAAGTTTTGTCTTAATTAATACACAAATTATAAATATGAATATTAATTAAAAGCTGCTTTAAGTTTTCATATGTTCAATATACTGTGTAAGTTGCAGAAGTAAGTAAAAAATAATAATGAATACACACAATGAAACATGATATAAAATATTTGTGTTTTTCTTGATCAAAAACAATGAAGACCTATTTTAAAAAGCATTATATATATATATGTGTGTGTGTGTCTGGATATAGTGTTTATAAATTCACATAACAGTTTATTTATTATGTATTAATGGTCAGATATGAATTGCTGGATTTTCTGGCTATTATCAAATTAATGATTATATAATAAAACTTCAGAATTTGACCTGAAGATAAGAGGTTAGATCACTATCTTCATGCCAATATTAATTAATAATTAGTAATTAATTTTGAATTAAATTAAATAATTTAGAAGATTCTGGCAATTGACATGTATGGTTATTTGATCCAAATTAATATATGTTTAAAAGTAAAGATTGATTGGAAGTCTTGTTGGTTTAACTGATAATGCATCTGTACGGTAAATAGATGATGTTTCAGTTTCATTTAAGATCAATATTTTTATTTTTATTTTTAGGTTGTTCAGGAAGTTTTTAGCAGTTTTTAAAAGAAATTTAAAAGAAATTGTTTTAAAACTAAAAACTGGTTTTTTGTTTCAAAACATTTCTTTTATTTCTCTTAAAAATTGCTACGAACTTCCTGAACATATCTTTATTCAATTATGTATGTGCCGTTGTTTTTAAAGACATGCTGCCATCTATGGGGAAGCTTCATAAAACCTTTTCATAGAACTTCCTATTTTTCCTGCAAAAAACTATTTCATATGGTTTTTGCAAACTTCCAAACTATCAAAGTTTCTATCACAAAGGAAATTATTCAGAGTCTGGAACAAATGGGAGTCTAATGAAGCAAGGTTACGTGAATTTGGGAGTGGAATAAAGCATCCCAGTGTAGTTCAATAATTTTTGGTGTTTGTAAATAATTGTGCCATTTGTCATTATCTTGATGAAACAATGCCTTTTCTGTTGACCAATTCTGGATGTTTTACTTCGGTTGATCCAGTTGGGAACAATACTTATCAGAATTGATTATTTGATTCTGTGGAAACAGCTCATTGTACAAAATTCCTTTTCAATCCTTCCAGATGGTGATCATGACCTTCTTTGGATAAAGATTGGCTTTTGCAATTTTTAATGGTAGTTCATTTTTCTTTCTCCACAATTGTTTTTGGCTGATGTTGTTATAAACAGTCCACTTTTCATTTGTCATAAGGCATTTCAGAAAAATGTCATTTTCATTTTGTTTTTAAAGATAATTTCAAATGGAGATATGATCCAATGAATTCTTTTCATTATATTGTGAGGTACTCAAATGTCATAATGATTCACATATCAGAGCAATGTCTTGATCTGGTCCTTTTCAATAATGGCTAGTCTTTGTCAGTGTGAGCATCTTTAAGGTTGAAATTACCTGCTTTAAATTTAGCAAACCACTTTTGAACAGTTGATTCTGCTACAGCACCCTCACTATAAACATGACATACAGTCGATCCCCCTATAACACGGTAGATACGTTTTGCTTTATACGAATTTTGCGTTGTAGGAATCCTTAAATACACGAGCCAATCGCAGCCCGACACGTGTGCAGTTTACGGACTATGGCTGTTTGAAAGGTTTTCTTCCATAAAATTAATCGTTTCTAGACTAATTCGACTCAATATTTCCAAAATACGTAAAATTTTTTGGGAATAATCCATATAAACTATACTATAAACAAAAAATTGTAGGATTACTTAATGAGTGTGCACAGTTTGACGTTGCCATTGCTTAAGCTTGTTTTCGTCGTGGAGCAGCACACCAAACAGTGGCTGCGATTTCTGATAAGTTATTTTTCTGCGAAAACTTCGTTGAACTTTGGAGACATCATTAATATAAATAATTTTTATGGCTGTTGAATAAGAAATGTTTCTTTCACAAGAAATGTATAAAATTAATGCTGTATTAGACTTATGGTACCTAGTTTACATACTGTACAGACGATAGTAAACTAAACTTACTCGCCTAAACTGGACGGCGGAAGTATATATATAATTATAATAAAGTTAAAATAAATTAAATTAATATTGTACAGACGATAATAATACTGTACAGACAATGGTAAACTCAACTTACCCGTCTAAACTCTCCGTAGCATGTAAGTAGTTCAGCTGCTCATCTACTATTGGTCCAGATTCGACCAATTCTGTCACAACATGAGTCAGCGATGATGTTTTACCGCATTTTACGCGTCCCTTTTAGCGTCTTTATACGAATACTATCACAATTTTTCACCGCGTTATAGGAATCCGCATTATAGGAACCCGCATTATAGGGGGTCTACTGTATTTCTTTTTCTGTTTGTATGGCATTTTTGCCTTTTCAATAGAAAAAAAAAAAAAACAAATGCTGAAATGCAACTTACTTGCTTTCATTTTTGCAAGATGAATTAAATGTCCATTTCAAAAAAAAAAATCCATTAAGATTATTTAAATAATCTTAATGGATTTTGGAAATAAACATTTAATTTGTCTTG